GTTTCTAGCGTTGTAAGTCCGCTGTGCCACTGGGGGGCGGTAAGAAGAAATTTAATGCGCAAAAGCAATTTGCTTGTTTAAAAGTATTTAGAAATGATATACTTCTTGCCTGATTACATAATATTAGCGTAAAAGATCAATAAATTAAATTGTAAAAGGTGGATACCTACAATTATAATGACCTATTTAAAGAAAATACAATCTTTCGTTTGTCTTCTAATCGAAATATAACATTTTCAATGCGTCACGCAAAACTCATTGTACCCACTTGTCGATGAGGGACATCATACGTGTAGTCAGATGGGCGATTTCTTGTTCTTCTTATTGTTGCATGATTAATTCTGTCTCCGGTCTCAGCTGCGATGTGTGTTGTTGCATAAGGAGACGGATAGTACAATGGCTCCCTCTGGTTGTCAACTGCAGTGTTACTTTTCGTTTTCCCGTAAGAGCTCATGGAAATATTATCTTCTCTTCCTCCTGAATTCCTTGATACTGATGATAAATTAAACATGGGAGTTTTCAAAAATTTGTTTCGGCAGTTTATTTCTAGCGTACAAGAACTGTTAACTGAAAAACTAGCAATGAACATACAATGAATCAAATTACTCTACGTGTACTAAAATCATATTTTGTTCAATTTGTATAGTTTCAACTGAAATCTTTAAACCATTTTTAATAATTATTTTGTTATGAATCTATATACATAATTCTTGGCGGTGGGTGCTTCTGACTGGCTGTCTTCTTCCCTCTGGTCAGTAATGACAAATTAGGGACAGCTATATATGAATCCTATGAGTCCCTAACATGCTCCTTTAATTCACGTGATCATAATGTGCAGTTTAGGTTAAAAAATTCCAATTCCTTATAACTCTAGGGAGCATTTGACTTTTATTACCTTTCGTTTCGCTTCAAAGCTCATTCCTTTGACGCACCAAACTTAAAAACAAAAAAAAACATCATATAATACAAATACTTTAACAATGTATATTGTGTAAATCCCTGAAGAAGCCGTAAAGTAAAACTTAAGGCAATAAAAAATAAATGTTCTCTAGAGATATAAGGTCGTTATTATTTCTTTCAAATACTGATAGTTAATTCTGATATACTAAAATCAGATTTCTTTTAAAATGAGGGTGAAAATTAAATCCCATAATGTGATATTTTTCATCACAGCTCAGTTATTACAGTTTCAACATGCTAATCCCTGAAAGAGTAACTTATTTTGCACATGAGAAGAACAGTTTATGTGCAGTAACAAAATATAGAAACGTTCGTCAGTATACTGGTGTGTGAAATTACCGCCGTGTACTTATAAAGATAGGGATGTGAATAAAACCAATAACTTTCTCTCCCTCTAACATGCGATACTTGAAAGGACCATTTATTCCTAAGTCTGACATACCCATTTATTTAAAACTAATGGTCACTTTATGCTCCACATTACAGCCGGTGCTATTTTGTCTGTGATAATGGTCTATCAGGAAAAATAATAATAAACTCACATGGCGATATAGAACCTACTAACGAGGTAGAACTCTAAGAATATGCGTTTCGCTATTTTTATGTTATGGCTTCATCTAATGTTTTAAATGAAGCATTTAGAGTTCAATAAGCATAATAAAGAAAGCAGTCTTAAATAACTATTCATTTGTGGTGTATAAAATTGAAATTAGTGAATAATAACCTTTTTTTACGTAACACATGTGATAGAACATAACAACAAACAGTGAAATAGGTAAGTGGGTTCTTAAATCTGATTCTCAATACCAGTCGAATATCCATCTTTTCTCGGTATTGAAAGTATTCGATATAAAATGTATTAAATAATCTATAATTTGTTACACCCATAGTAAAACTGCGTTTTCTTACCAGCGTCAGATCCTCTCTCGCCACTTCCGTCTCTTCTTCTCCACACAATAACAAGAGATGTCACTATGACAATTACCAGGAGGACAAAAATAGCGCACACAATAGGCACCAAAATTGCTGGATCTTTTATAAAGGAAGATCGATGAGTATCAGCAGAGGCAATAGGTGGTATGGTTGCTGGGGAAATAAAAAAAGTTTATCAGCAAATTTTAATTCTCTAATCCTTCCTTTCCAACATAGAACTTTGTCTTTGAGAATTTTTCCGTACAAGAAAAAAACGTTTTCCTCTCTATAAGGAATTGAGCAATCGTAAGCCTATATCTGAAGCATTACTTTATAATCGTGTCAATAAACTACAATGCTAAATGTTTCGTTTGTTTGTTTGTAATTAAGCACAAAGCTACACAATGGGCTATCTCTGCTCTGGCCACCACGGGTATCGAAACTCGGTTTCTAGCGTTGTAAGTCCGCAGACATACCGCTGGGCCACTGGGAGAGCAGGACCATCTAAATGTATAGAAAAATTATTTTGTGCACGTGATGTTTGTTATACACTGCAATTCAATAAGAACAAACTAAGTTTTATATCACATTCGTTGTAAAAGATACGTTTTTAAAGATATTTGAAATAACAAATTTATTTACATTTTCAAAATTTTTGAGATATATATTGTGTAAGTATATGCAAATAAAACATTAAAAAATGGAAATTCATAAACCTTCATTTTTTTTGTCCATTTCCAAATAAATTGAAATATTGTAATACCCGGTGAGCTGTAACAAACTGAAAGCGAAACTAAAAGCGACTTAATAAATAATTCTTGGTTGTGATGAATTGGAAATGTATAAATATAGCTTTTTTTCAGGATTAGGAATATGTTATTAGACAAACTCAGTGGCAAACATCAGTAAAATTATTTGTATAAATTTCCTCGGATGTATCTCCTACTTTGCGCTCAAAATTTCAGACTTAAGTATCAAAATTTAAGGTTGAAATCCAAATGAATCGTTACTATGGTGGTTTATTCCTTCAATAAAGCATTACAGGATCGAGCGTCGGTGACTGTTGCTGGCAGTATTGGATCGATAACCACGCCCTTGACTTGTTTTGGTCTGAAACCTTCTGTGTTTCGTCTGACTGCAAAACATGGTGCTCTGTTGTGTGTTATTAAAGTATTTAATTTAATACTGCTGCTGAAAGAAGGATAGTCTACACTATAGCGTTCGAAAAAGAGTTCTGAAATATATTTCATCAAATTCTTCTTTTTCGAAAACCAATGTATTTCTTGTTATAATCTAAGACAGGTAGTCAGATATGCAGAAAATAAATTTAACTGATTTTAACTCGTGGATAAGATTGAAAATGTTAATAAATAATTTTACTAAAAAATATACTTGCAAATTGTTTTTCGTTTGTTTGTTTTTGAATTTCGCGCAAAGCTACACGAGGGCTT